CTGGTAAATATTTATAAAATTATGAGAAACAAATATATCAGCAACATTCTATGTTAGATATAATTATAACTGCCATCAATAATTTATATGTTGTTATGAAAATAATTATATTGTGGATGTCTATTTATTGCTCCGCTATAGATAATTTTCCTGAAAAAGATTATCCATTTGGTACTCTATTGAAGTTTATCTACAAGCAGCTGATGCAGCCAGGTTGCAAGCAAATCAATGAAATAATTTGCAGCAGCTTCTTATTAAACATGCAAGTTGCAAGCAGCTCATGCAGGCAACTTACAAGCAACTCAAGAAAAGCCTCTCAGCTGCTTCCTTTCTTCTCTAAATAGAGGNACAGGCAAGTTGCAAGCAGCTCATGCAGGCAACTTACAAGCAACTCAAGAAAAGCCTCGCAGCTGCTTCCTTTCTTCTCTAAATAGAGGAGTTTTCAGTTCATTATGTACATCAGTTTGAAGTTGAATAATATATCAATCTCTCTCTATACTTGTCTTCATTTTATTTACTTTATAGTATTTATTTTATAACGTATGCTAGATATTACAATTGATTTTCTAAATTTTCAATGAGCTAATATTTTAATTCCTATAATTTAGTATCTTAGTAAAAATAAAAATAAAAATATAGAGAAAGAATAAGTACGAAATTATAACTAAAATCGATAATATTGACCAACACTTCCTTGATTCTACTTATTCTAAAATGTAGATTTATAACCGGCCATAAAACTAAAAGCAATTAATTCTGGATGATTTAATTATTTTAGCAAAAAAAAATAGAGATTTTTTTTTGTGAAAAAATGNAATATTTTAATTCCTATAATTTAGTATCTTAGTAAAAATAAAAATAAAAATATAGAGAAAGAATAAGTACGAAATTATAACTAAAATCGATAATATTGACCAACACTTCCTTGATTCTCCTTATTCTAAAATGTAGATTTATAACCGGCCATAAAACTAAAAGCAATTAATTCTAGATGATTTAATTATTTTAGCAAAAAAAAATAGAGATTTTTTTTGTGAAAAAATATTTCGATCCTCTGGTATATATAATAGTATGTCCATTACCCTTTAGTCAATCACTACTTTTACTAAATTTATATACCAAAATTTAAATAATTGTGATATGTGATCATTAACAAATTGTGATTCCAAATTATTACGCAATACTAAATACCTAATTAAAGAATTGATTAACTCTAATAATAAGTCGTGATAAACTTATTCAAGTAATTTTCTGTTTAATATTATCTATTTAAAATTTATTATTTATCAATAATAACAATAACCTAGTAGAATCCCACTAGTGAGTATAGGGAGGGTAAAGTGTACACAGACCTTGCCCCTACAAAGGCTGTTTCCGGGAGACCCTCGGCTCAGAGACAATAGATCCGTAACAACAACAGAAACCAAAAAAATAGTATCAGCGTCGTAAAATATAGCAAATAAATGAAAAGGCCAAAATGTGAAAGACAGAAAAAAATATGAAACACAATAAAAACCGCTAACAGTCCTAGACAAAACACTATGAGACTAGTCGGCGCAGCGAGGAGAAACGCACGACTACCCCTAACCTACAACCCTAATGCTCGACCTCCACATCTTCCTATCAAGGGTCATGTCCTCAGAAATCTGAAGCCCCGCCATGTCCTGCCTTATCACCTCGCCCCAATACTTCTTAGGACGCCCCTACATCTTTTCGTACCTGCCAAAGCCAACCGCTCACACCTCATAACCGGAGCATCTAGGCTCCTCTTCCGCACGTGCCCGAACAATCTAAGCCTCGCTTCTTGCATCTTGTCATCCATGGGAGTCACGCCTACCCTCTCCTGAATATCCTCATTCCTAATCTTATCCATCCTAGTATGCCCGCACTTCTATCTCAACATCCTCATTTCTGCTACTTTTATCTTCTGGTATGTGAAATCTTGACTGGCCAACACTCAGCCTCATACAATATGGACGGTCTAACCACCGCCTGTAGAACCTACCTTTAAGTTTCGGTGGCACATTCTTGTCACACAGGACTCCAGATGCTAACCTCTATTTCATCCACCCCACCCCAATACGGTGTATGACATCTCCGTCGATCTCCCTATCTCCCTGGATAATAGACCCTAGGTACTTGAAACTCTCTTTCTTAGGGATAACTTGTGAGTCAAGCCTTACTTCCACATCCGCTTCCCCCGACATGTCGATGGACTTAAACTCCAAATATTCCATTTCGGTTCTACTCAACTTGAAACCTTTAGACTCCAGGACCTACCTCAAAACCTCCAGTCTCTCGTTAACGTCGACTTGCGTCTCATAAATCAAAACTATATTATCCGCGAACAGCATACACCAAGGCACCTCCCCTTGAATATGGTATGTCAGCGCATCCATCGCCAGGGCAAATAAGAATGGACTGAGCACAGATCCTTAGTGTAACCCCATAACCACCGAAAAAGGCTTTGAGTCACCTCCCACGGTCCTAACCCGAGTCTTAGCTCCATCATACATATCTTTAATCGCCGTAATATAAGCTACTGGTATACCTTTCACTTTCAGGCATCTCCAAAGAACGTCCCGAGGGACCTTGTCATACGCCTTCTCTAGGTCAATAAATACCATGTGCAAGTCCCTCTTCCTATATCTGTACTGTTCAACCAACCTCCTAATTAGGTGGATAGCTTCCGTAGTAGAACGCTCCGGCATGAACCCGAACTGATTCTCTGATATAGACATCGCCCTCCTTACCCTTCATTCCACCAACCTCTCCCAAACTTTCATTGTATGACTCAGTAACTTAATATCCCTATAGTTGTGACAATTATGGATATCACCTTTTTTCTTGTACAGCAAAATCATCATACTCCACCTCCACTTATCTGGCATCCTCTTCGTCCCGAAAATAACATTATACAACCCAGTCAGCCACTCCAAGCTTGCTCTATCCACATACCTCTAAAATTCTACTGGGATCTCGTCTGGTCCGGCCGCTTTGCCCCGACTCATCTTACGCATCGCTCCCACGATCTCCTCAACGTTAATACGCCTACAGTACCTAAAGTCTCGGTGACTTTCAGAGTGCCCCAATCCCCCTAACACGATGTTTATGTCCCCCTCTTTGTTCAACAGTTTATGAAAGTACGCCTGCCATCTTTGCTTAATCTAGGCCTCTTCCATCAATATACGACCTTCTTCGTCTTTGATGCACCTAACTTGTTCCAGGTCACGAGCCTTCCTCTCTCTCGCTCTGGCTAGCCGAAATAGCTTTTTGTCCCTACCTTTGGCCCCCAGTTCCTCATACAATCGACCAAATGCAGCAGTCTTAGCCTCCGTGACCGCTAATTTTGCCTCCCTCCTAGCTTCCTTATATCTCTCTCTGTTCGCTCTCCTCTACTCCTCGTCGGTGCTCTCCACTAACTTATGGTATGCTGCTTTCTTTGCTTCCACTTTACCTTGGACCACGTCATTCTACCACCAGTTGCCTCGGTGCCCGCCAGAGTAACCCTTCGAGATCTCTAACACCTCCCTTGCCGCCTCCCTTATATAGTCCGTCGTCGCCGTCCATATAACGCCAGCATTCTCACCACTCTTCCAGGGCCCCCAAAGCCGTTAACCGCCTCTCTAACTCCTGCGCATTGTCCTTAGTCAAAACTCCCCATCTAATCCTCGGTTGACCCCGTACAGACCTCTTCTTCCTCTTTATCAAGACACCGACGTCCATCACCAGGAGCCTACGTTGTGTCGCTAGATTCTCCCTCGGGATCACCTTACAATCCTCGCACAAACCCTTATCACACCTTCTGAGGAGGAGATAATCAATCTGAGTCTTAGCCACCATACTCCGGGAAGTAATAAAATGCTCCTCCCTCTTCAGAAAAATAGAGTTCACAATCACCAACTCAAAAGCTCTTAAAATTTATTATTTATTAGCTATATTAATTATCCCTCAATATTAATTATCCCTGATTATGAATGCAATTTAATTTGCAATTTTCTCCTTCAAAGATTTTTTTTAATAACTTGAGAAATTAACTAATTAGCAAAAGAATACAATTCAGTTTTTCAAATTTATCATATAATTAAAATTACTTAATATTTAAAACTTGGGATGAGTTAATACTAAAAATTTGAATCAACAAAAATAATGTTGAGAACAAATAATTAAGTCTTTGAAATAACTTATTAGGTAAAAAATTCAATTGGATTCTTTTCTAAATTCATCATATAAATAGAATTATTTTTAACTTAATGAACTCTTAATATAATATTACGACACATATTGATAATGGTGCTAATATGAAGCAATATTGATGAAATAGTAGAAAATAAAACGTATCGTAAATCAGTTTTCTTTTTACTTCTTTTTGCCTTCGTTTAAATTATTTCAACATGAGTCATTTTAGAACTTTATGTTGTTACTTATCATTTTTATTCTAGGAGCTACAAGACCAACTTCTCATTCCCAATTTTAAAAGACCAAAAAAATCACTTTATCAATTTGAAGTAAATTAGTTCTATTTCTCAAATAGTAAAAAATAAATAAAAATAAAAGAAAGTTAAATGACAATATTGGACACATCATCCCCAACTTTACTTCACACACCAGGGAGTAATTAGGTAATTCGATTAAAATTTTCAGATCCCCGCTTATTTACCCACGTTCAGAAGTTATGAATATCAATTAGGGCTCAATTCCCGCGCCTCTAACTCACGAAATCTCTCAGTAGAGCAAGTTGCGGACGCCCTTTCTTCATCATCTTCTCTACAAGGCAAGTCGCCACAATCCGAATAACAAAGGTATGTTCTTCATCATACATTCCCATTTCCCTTTTTATGATGCTTGATTTTGTTTGGGTACAAAGAGATTTTCATACACTAATTCGTCATCTTAATCTGGTTCTAAATCCTGAAACAGTTCTATTTTGTTTCCAATTTGTCAACGAACAGATGGATTATGGTTTCGATTATACAATAATTGAACAGTCCCGAGGTCTGAGGCTGAGAACCTTTTTACTTATTAGAAAAAGTTTATAGGGGTTTCACTTCATTTACATACAATTTCATAATTCCTAATTCTTAATTTTAAAATATCGTTGAATCTCTTGTATCTTATCACTTGCACAGGTCAAGATGGTGGCAAACAGATAGGTCTTATATTTGTCTAGGTGAAGCAAATTTCCAACACTTGTTTACTTTGATGATATAATTTCTATAGATGAGTTCAATTTATAATTTTGGGTTTATTTCGAGATCTTTTTGAATGGCATTTTTTTCCTGTATAAAGTAAAATCTGGATGTAGTTTCTCCAACGGGTGCTTATACTTGTATTCTAGATTTTCTCCCGAAATTTCATCTTTATTTCTCTGTTAGAATGCACAGAATTATTTTAATTTTTTTCCTCTTTGTTTTCCTTTTCTTTGCTATAATCTCATTACCACTACACTAGAATCTTTTCTTATATCAAGCGAATTCAGCAATTCATATATACCTAAACTTTTTTTACCCTATTTACGTATTATAATTTTTCGGCAAAGGGGATTAATTTGAATGCCCTTGGCTCCCTTTAGCTCCACTACTGCTCACCACTATAAGATAACAAAAACATCATTCACTTTTCTTGTGCTAGACTCTTTAATTTAGCTTTTTGGTGCTTTACGGAGCTCCGACCCTGCTTTGGCATATAAGGTAACATGACTCTCATTCTTCACATGTAATGATTCATGGAATATCTTTAACAAGAAAAATTCTAAAGGATTTCCTAGAACTAGATCATGCTCTCTGTTATAGTACATTTGTTGAAGATAGTTAATGTCAATTTGGAATCTACTTTTCAATAATTGAGTTTCCAGCAACCAAGTATGAATAAATTTTCTGATATTTCTTAACTAGATGGAATGACGGCTTGTTCAGAAGTTAGTATGACTTTGAATATCCAAATTTAGGCTTATGATTTTGAGCCACAATGTGGAAAAAGTCATCTTTTTAATATGGCTTGTAATTTAGATATGGTCTTATATATCTTTCTGGAGAGCGAAGTTGTGAAATCTGTTGTTAAAGTTGTGTGTAGGAACAAGCAAATGGAGAACATTAAGCTATAATCCTAAATCTAAATCTAGGGATAAATAACTTGAGGTGGACTTGTTGTTCCATCTAGCATGTTGGGTAACTCCTTTTCCCTTTTCAATATTCGCTTATACCCTTTCCTCTATTACAATACTCCTCTTTGCTAGTTCTTTCTATAGCTTCTCCTTCTATTTGACTCAATTGATCTTTTTAGCAGTTTTATTAAAATTTCTCACCTATACTACTGTTAATCATACGTACTCTATTTGGAGAAAAATTTGAGTGATCTTTTGCTTGTTGGTTTGGCTGATGAAGTTAGAGTGCGAATAATGTAGAACATTAAAATGACATGGTAGTTAGTTGGAACATCATTCCATAATCTCAACTGTAAAGGAGATATTCTATGCAGATGATTCTATGGACCAACAAGGTCTAGGAAGTTTATCCTTGGGTTGTAGGCCATATTTCTCATACTAGAGTAGGCTACAAGTTATAGCTTTGTTAAATTCAGAGGTGGTCTTACTGCTAATCTTGCCATTGCAAGTCTTTCCATTCCAAGATAAAGAGGGTGCTTGGAGGATTTTATATAATGAAATCAAGATAGATAGGATTTTACAAGTTTGTTAAAAGAAAAATATTCAACTAGTATGACAGGCCCCATATTCCCGCTTTGTTCCACCTCTGGTTTATGCCTTCATGGGCAGTTAAAAAAAATAGCCGGTGATTCACCTATATTGTAAATCAATTATTCCTTATATTCTTTTCTGTGAAAAGATAGACTAATAGAATTTATGTCTTCAATACAACTAAACTCTTTTTCTATTTGATTCATTCATCTTTTTTTAAAAAAAAAACAAAGTTCATATCATGTTGATATTCAATTTTATTGTCATTTCATTTCATACGCTATGATGTTCAGAAATTTGACATGTGGAAGACTTCATTATAATAAAGAGTTAGAGAAACTGTAATGCGTAATGTATCGTCTAGTATCGTAGTAGCTATTATTAGTTGTTGGACACAAAGTGACACTAGTAACTATTAGATCAGAATAGTTTAATTTTTTTTTTGTTGATACATTTAATGAAATGTATTAGTATTATTTTTGAATNTTTTTTTGTTGTTGATACATTTAATGAAATGTATTAGTATTATTTTTGAATGTAAATAGGCATAACTGCTTTAGAAATATTGGGAAAGTCCCTTATTCATTTTTATTGCCAATAAAAAAGTTGTTAAATATAATATTTGTCGTAGAACAGCCTTCTTTTAATAATATATTTCATTATTTGAATACGAATTAACATTGTATTTTATGACAATTGTAAGTGTCACTAATTATGACACTTTATGGTGACAATTTTGTTTTGTCGGTAAAAGCAATACTTTTAGCGACGACATGATAGTTTTTAACTACAAAAATTGTAAATCATTTTTGTAAAAGCAAAGTCGTCACTAATTTATTCATTTAGGGACGAAACATTTTTTTGTATATAAAATGTCATCTTTAGTGACGAAATCACGTTTTTTCAGCTACTAAATACATGTAACTTTAGAGACAATTAACATTGTCACTAATTGATCTAAATAATTAGTTACAAGGTAGTTTTGTCGGTATTAATAATTTTTTAGTGACGAAAACACATTATCACCTACAAATTTTCAATACTTTTTCTGACAAACAAATTCGTCGTAAATACTATGCATTTGGGGACGAAAAAAGAGTTTCATAGTTAATCTATCTTTATTTAGCGACGAAACACTAAGTTGTCTTTGTATACTTTTAGTGACCCACTTTTAAGGACGAGTGATTGACAATTTATTTTTCGTCGCAAAAGGTTTGTTGTGACGAAATATGATTTTTAAGCGACGAAATAATATGTAACCGATAGCCAAATTTGTTGTAGTGATTGAGTAGAAATCAATAACAAACTCCAAAATTATCAATTATTCCAACAAGATAATTTATGAGCTCTTTTAACTTCTCTAGATTGTATTAAATTTAGCTGAATATAAACGAGTTTCTTGAACATAATTATGGCTTCTAAAAGGGCATTTCAATTGTAGACTTTATTTATGATATAAAGTGATGATATAAAGTGATTCTTAAATTTTTTAGATTTACAAAGAATTTTCATTTGATTTTTTTTGGAACATGTCATGCATGAATGGTTTTTCATCTAATCTGTTTTTTTACTATTTGAAAAAGAATTCTTATCGAATAAAAATGTAATTGTAATTAAATACCTAAAATTTGGTATGAGCTAGCTAATTAATATTATTTAAATACTAATCTCACTTAAATAATGATACTTCCAAATTAAATAAACACTTCCCATTCTAGCTTCTTTCATTCTTTGAAATGTATTTTAAGTTAAATATTGAGTATTTCTGTGGAGCAGTTTTATTTTTTATTAGTTATATACAACCAACATTCATTATTTTTAAGAACTTATATTTTTATTTTATAACTCAAAGAAAAATTTTAAATAAATTTTTCATTGAGTTAGGTACACGCGCAAAGCGCGTACACTAAGACTAGTATATATATAAAAGATCATACTCCCTTTGTTCCAATTTGTTTGATGCATTTTGGATTTCGAGAGTCAAGCGAGTTTTTCTTTAATCATAATTTTTTTGTCTTTAAAAAAAATCATGATTTATTATAGTACTTTTGGTTTAGCTTCCAAATAGTTATAAAAAATCAAAAGAAGAAGAAGAAAAAGATTTTATGTCTAAATTTGTGGTCAAAAGTGAAAAGTTTGACTCTCGAAATTCGAAAGTTATCAAACAAATTGGGATATTAGTAATAGTTAATAGAAAATATATAATACCTCAAAATGATAACAATAAAGTATGCATTTGGTTGTATCTTATGCCAAATCGTAATACACAGGTAATGAATTACCAGAATTACACAAACAACTACATTTTGTTAGGTGAAATTGAACGTAAAACTTAATACTAATAATAGTCCATGATCTTGCTTATGTTGCATGTGACAGTTCCACAACCTGCCGAACCCCATGTCCCTCCCTCTTGTTAGACACTTGGCCCATCTCATGTGTAAGTGAGCCAGTCAAATTAATGTGTTAACTAGTCCAAATAATGCACCTTTCATAGTTCTTCCACATCTACCGTCGGCAACCGTGCATCACACACTCGTTTTAGTTATTAAATTAAAAAATCATGACATGGGAATAAAGATATGAACACTATACATGGATTTGTTTACCAGGGGCGGACCTATAACCTAAATATGAGGTACGTAAATTTATGATTTTTTTGTCAAACAAGATATTTTATGTATATATTTTCTAAAATTATTCTAATATTATTTGTTAGCACTCATGCTCCAAATATGTTGAATAGTGCACTTGATGGAATACTAAGTTATTTACTCAAACAAACACAGATCAATTCCACTTGATACTTTTTTTATTTTTTCTTTAGTGATACATCTGTGTTCTAGAAATTTTATTGATCCACAATTAATTCACTTCAAGACCAAGTCAGTATGTACTAAAAACTCATCAGATCACCAGTCACCTTTCTATGAAATGCTTTAGTCAAACGAGTGGAATAATAGATTGAGATTGAACTATCATTTCCCTTTTAATATGTCTAAATTCCAGGATCAATCATCAAAAGTAGTTGATACATCTTTTTCGGTTGAAAGAGTTACATATTAGTAGGATATGTTATTTGTACCTCCTTTACAATTTTAAAATTAAGAAATAACATTTGAAGATCTCCCATGTGTAGGGTCATGAAACAAAAAATAAGTTTGTAAAGAACTACAAAATAAGTTTGTAAAGAACTACAAAATCAATTTACATCCGATACGTGCAAATAATCAAACACTCTTCATAAACTGTTTATGGACAGTAATAGCGATTCAATCTGCTGACCTTGAGTACTCTCGCCGTTTTATTGTATATTTTAAATTATTTACAATATTTTTCAAATACAGTGCAAAAAAGCTAAATGGTGCGTACAATATTTAATGGGTAAATCTCTGTGATATTATTATAAAACTTGTTCCGAATTCGACAAACTCAGAAGGAAAGTAAAAGAAGAAGTTAATAGTATTTCCTTTTTATTATGGCTAGTTCTTAAAAATGAAATATTTCAGTTCGAAAAGATAAAATAGAAGCTATCTAGATTTAAAATAGACCAAAGAAGCTAAGATCACCCAAAAAGCAAATAATAGTATTTAAAATCAGCGTATATGTTTTTAACAAGATCGGCACCAACTAAAATCAGCCTTATTTACAAAGTGTACTGTTGTGTTGCATAGCTTTTATGCATATAACATGAAGTGCTGCCATGGCTAAAAACAGACGAAAAGAAGAGAAAAAGACTGAGGGGCTAAAGAAGAGCCGACAACTATTACTTTCCCGAGCCATAGAACATGCATCGCATTTATTGACTTTGTCCAAATAAAGCTAGAGATTAAATTTAATTTTCTACAAAGACGGGACACGTACATTTTAGTCGCATAGGAATTTTAAACCCTTTGCCTACCATTCCACCAAAGCAGGGCACAGTCGCGCCTTAATTTGTGGCAGTGGGGGCGGCGGCGATATTGCCCCTCTTCCTCTTTCTACGCTGTAACTAAAGTTACTATGTGAACCCAAGATTTAACATAAGAAGATTGGCACATTACCGCCAGTACAATATCACACTGTTAAAGTACTTGAGAAATTTTTCATTATAAAAAGAATTTTTTTTACTTAATCAACACAAATAGAAAGTTATACATAACTCGCTATTGAGTATTGACAAATCTAAGAATTATTTTGCCACCTAATTGGAAATTGTACTAAAAGC